AATAATAATAATAATAATAGAACTGCACATTCATAAGTTCTAGTCGTTTTTAGAAGATTGGCTCTACATGGATTTTATTTTATTGGGTACAATCCTATAGCTTATGTAAGTTCAATTGAATATGTCACAGTGGCAAATTGCCACTGGTCAAGTAAGTCATACCTAGTGTGATGTAGTGTAGAGAATGACATACTAGGACTCGGCCTGGGTTCAAATCCTTGCTCAGCCGCTGGTGGAATGAAATTGGTAAAAATACTCCTTAAATATCTCATTTGCCTTCAAAACCCTATTAGCATTGCAATAAGTTGGTTTTGACTTGATGGCACATAACAACAAGGAGTTACCATTTGTATTTCTTGTCACATGCCTAGTCATGTGATTTGTGCATGCCAAGGAACACAAGTGAGAACTGCTTTGGTTAACAGCAATTTGCCACTACACTTATACCAGCATAGAGCAACCAAAAGGATACATTGATATTTTCTCTTCTTCTCCATAAATATTGTGTAGAGCTCTGCGCTTAAAGGCTCCAGTATAACTAGCAAACGTGCACTGTTGGAAGCTCCTGTTTGTACAGAAGTTTATATACATAAAAGCCCCTTCCTACAATTGTTTCTGCTGTACATGAAGACATGTTGGCATAGTATATTCTTTTCTATACCAACAGTGGCTTTCTAGACTTTTAGACACAAATTCAGAGTCCTACCTGCAGTGCATGGGATTGCACTGGGACATTTTATATGTAAGACACATGCTCTAGTGCTGAGTTATTCCCTTTCTGCCAACATTATTTGGCATCCATAGTACTGATGTGCAGAACAGCCAAGTGCAATCCCATTTCTGCTCACAGTGGGTTAAGCAAAATCTCAACAGGATTTGTGTACCTACTAGAGATGGGGGGTATTCGAATATGAATGCCCTTGCACAGGTGGAGATAACGAGAGTCCAGCCCCATGGGGCCGGAGGGTCCACTCCCCAATGCACTAATGCTCCAGGGTCTGCTGCCATCCTATCACTCTGGAGGTCGTGATCACCAAGCCACTCCTGGCAGGAGGCGGGACGACAAGTCCCTCTGCCAGGTTGAAGAGTGGCTTGGCACTCGCAATCTCCGGAGCGACAGGATGGCAGCACAGACCCCGTGGCATTAGTACATTGGGGAGTGGACCATCCAGCCTCATGGGGCCAGACCCTTATTATTTCCACCTGTGGAAATTCCACCAATCTCTAGTACTGTACCTACATTATCTTCTTTACATTTTAGAATAGTAAGCGTCTACAAAAACAGGTGATCTGCATGGATTCCTTGTGGGGCATAAATACTGTGATGCAATCCAATATATTACAAGTCTTGCATGAGTTGTAACAAACGTCAGCCTCTCCTCAAAACAATAATTAATTCAGCAAGGAAACCACAAGAGATGTGCTGGCTATTCCTTTCAACGCTGTATCTCTTTGTGGTTCTGATGTGCGTCATTCATTATGTGGAGATAAAAAAGTTTCTTGCATAGTGATACCCTTTTCATATCTTGAGTTCTCAATCTCTGGAGAAGCATTCTAAATTATCATCCAGGATTTCTGGTACTGAAGCTTAAAGCTAATTGTTGGAATAATTTAGTTGGTCGTGGTCAGACTCTCTTTGTTCTTGAAGTACACCCTAGATTCTCTTCACATGTTCTTCAGAGACCAAGATTGCTACCAGAGTTTCTTTGGCAATTTTACCAGATCTTGGAAAGATTATTTTGGACAAGAAACTCTAGAACGGTTGTTGTGAGTTTTTCGGGCTCTTTGGCCGTGTTCTGATGGTTGTTCTTCCTAACATTTCGCTAGTCTCTGTGGCCAGCATCTTCAGAGGACAGCACTCTAGAACCTCGCAAAATCTGAGTAGTCCAGATAGTCCACCATAGTCCATGGGAGATTCTGGGAGCCGTAACCCAAAAATGATCTTTCTAAGCCCAGACATTTGCTGACTGATTGGTTTTGTAGTAAATTGGCTTATAATGAGGCAGATCATTTCTCCATTTAGGCTACAACAAACTGATAGTGATTCTCCCAGGTTTCAAGCAGAGGTCTTTCTAGAGTAACTAGTTAAATCTTTTGAATTGCTGGTAAATCTGGGACCTTCTGCATCAGCTCCAGGGAAGCTCCACCCCATGGAGCTCACCTGTCTTGTGAATTTCCCCAACCCAGCTAGTGAGGTCATATGCAATGGAAGTGCCTACTTGTTCAGCCCTTCCCCCTTATCTTTAATCTGAGATGTTTCTTCCTCAAGGTACCTGCTCAGATGGCTTCACCTGCTGCTTGCTTTATAGCAGATGAGGAGTGGCAAAAGGCTGGCTCCAGAATCAACTGGAGTTAACTCCTCAGTTTGAGGTACTGCTTCTTGAGACAGTAGCTCAGAGCAGAACCATTTTTATCTTGCTGTATCCAACAAGGAGGTGGGGACTTAGATGAACACTGCTGCTATTGTCTGTGATTATCCCTGTATGCTTGTGGGCTGTAGGCACATGCTAGTAGCAAAGATGGCCCAGCTCAGTTGAGGTTTGCAGTCCATAATATGCTTGCTTAACACCAATTCTTCCTTCAGGCTGAAAAATGTACTCCACCCCTCTGTGTGATAAGTTATAAATTAAAAACAAGCACTGAATTAAAACAATCTCAATAACTTAAAAGCACAACAAAGAAAGTGTACAATGCCCAGCATTAAAAGACTTTTCATTAAATGTGCGTTAGTGGTCAAGTACCAATCTAAATGAAGGAAAACAGGAGTCAATGACATTTATCCTTTCTCAAGAGGGAGTTCTACAGCATGGAAGCGGTTACTGAGAAGGACTTTTCTTCCTGTGTCCTCACCAAATGTTCCTCTGAGGATTGTGGGACCTAAACTTTAAAGACCCAAACGAGTACTTATGGAGAGGTACAGATAGCTAGGGTGTTATAGGTCATATAAGCACTTTGAATTGTACCCAGAAACAGACTGTCATTGTCAATGATGGTGTAGCAAGATTCTCACTTGCCAGAATCCTATTGCACATTTACATTTGTGCTGGTTAAGGGACATTGTGTAAGTCTTGGCAGGAAATTTCCACTCTTTCATGATACTACAATTGTGTTTCTAAATGTGCACCCAATTGCCCAATGAGGCACATGCTGAGGAATGCAACTAACACCTCATTAATGAGCAACATTTTGCCACCAAGATTTACACGGTTTTCCTTGCATAAGGATTAAATGGCAAAAAGATTCTGACCATTATAACCGATTCTGGTTAGCCATCTGGCTGCAGCACCTACTTTAACCTTTCCTTCTTTTATTATCTGTTACCGAAAGCATTTTGACTAAAATGTTTTTAAAATCAACACCTGGATTTAAACATATTGTATATAAAACATGCATGTGAATTTAATGCTTCCATTGTTTCCCTGAAATGTTTTCATTTTCTTCACTGTTAGCAAGAATCTAACTGACTTGATATGTTGTAAAATATACCATGTTACCACTGGAACTATGGTAAGATGATAAAACCATTTCCTCCTTGTTCCTTTTAGGTTTTATATTGAAAGCATTTCCTTTCTGAAGGACAAGACCACAGTAGAACTCTTTTTTCTGAATGCGAAATCCTGTGTACATAAGGTAATTTAGCGTCTTTTCCTGTATAATGACGTTATAATGGATCTTTTTTTTTAAAAAAAATAGATATAGTTGTATTGTCATCTGAATATATAAGTACTTATGGGCAAAAAGAAAAGATTGTCAGGAAGATTCCAGAAATCTTTAAGGGTGTTGTATTAAGTCAAATAGCAGATCTGAACTCAAACTATTTTGCTTTCTCACATTTCACATACATCTCAAAAATTTCCACTGATTAACATATCAACACTTCCTGTGGGTAACTATTTAGATATGACAATGATTCCTCTCCCCAAAAGGCAACGTAAATCTCACCTTTTGTTGAAATCCAAGCGTCTTCATGAGCATTGCTTTTGATATATTTTTTTAATGCAATATAATCTGGAAGAAACTGCTGAACATTTATAATGAATGGACTGTGTGAACATAATATAGACAAAGATAAAGCAGTTTAAAAGAGAGAGAAAGACTCAGTCTTGATACAGTAGTAAACTATTGCTTATTGATAGTATGTAAGCCCAAGCGGCTCTAGCAAATCTCACAAGCTCCTTCCTTGATGGTTGACTAATATGCCTAAGAACCAGATGTTCTGATCATATGCAGTCATGTAAACAACTCACATAACCTGTGATGGCCCAAAGAGACTTTTCCACTTAAAGAACAGTGATGTTTGTAAGTTTTCTATCTGCATAGATTAGAGAAAGATGATTTAAACCCCTAGCAGACATAGGGCATGCCCTCATGACTCTGACTAAATACATTTCGTTCCTCTGGCTCCCTTGACAATTTCACTGCTGACAGAAACACCATAGCTGGTTTTAGAGGCCATATGACTGGCTTTCCATTTTGTGTGGGTTTGGCTTGAGAGAAAGGTTGTTGTCTCTTTGGGAACACTCTCTTTCAGAGCTGAAATGGAGACATTATAAGGACAAAACCTTGGTTCCACTTATTAGAAGAAATCTTTGTTCTTACCATGGTCATGCTGCAATATGCCAAGAGCTATCATTTACAAAGAACATATGCATGTTACTAGATGGAGGGGTTTGTGGGTGCAATAAATGCATTACTGTGTTTTTCCATTTCCCATTGAAAACAACATTCAGCGTCTTCCTAAAACTTATTCGACTTTCATCCTGTCCAAAAAGAACATTTCTGATCTCCCAACACTGGATGTATAAAATATGGATTAGTACATTTCTCTCTGTCTAAAACATAAACTGTGCTCAAAACGTAAACTGTGCTCATCAGCCCAAACGGGTGCACCGCTTTGGAGAATCAAATCTATGTATCTCTGAAGAGTTTCTTGCAACTGTGCGATTCCTTTTTGTAAACTCCTGGCAATTATTCAGCTGTAAATACTAAATAACTCAGTCATTTTTTTTGCACAGACCTTGATGCTGTACCTGGTGTTCGGTTGTACCATTTTCAGAATTTTTGCACCTTTTGGGTCCACAAGAATGGTTGCTTTCAGAGGCAAGAGATGAAATAACCTTTTCTCCAGTGTAGTTAACTGGGTGTTTTACTCCAAGGTAGTTAACAAGATCGTGATGACTACTTTAACAACAATAAAAGCGGAGAAGGGGAAATCTTGAGAAAAGGAGTCTTCGAGGTGGCCAGCTTGCTGAAATTTATCTAGTAAATCTCTGGGAATATCATGAAAGGCACCTTGAATTCCACGCTGGAGTTCAGGCGAGATGTAAACAAACAAATAACGTTTTTTTTGTCCAGCCCTTTATTTTATTTATTTATTTATTTATTTATTTATTTATTTATTTATTTATTTATTTATTTATTTATTTATTTATTTATTTGATTTATATCCCGCCCATCTGGTGTATTATACCACTTATTTATCAAGCCTATCAAGTAATCAGAATGGTGTGAAGGGAACTGAGAGCAAAAAAGGCAGTTTGAATTAGATGGGGAGTGAGTTTTGAGAGACAGAGAATGACTGTGGTTTGGTGTAAAGTGGAGGGAGCGGCCAGCTTAAAATTCTGGAACAGCTGAAATAAGATACAGTAATAGAGATGGGCACAAAGTGCCAATTCGGCAGTTCACCCTGGTTCATTTACAACCAGAACAGGTGTTTGGTGTTTGAGCACCTCACCTTGGGTGGACACCCAATCAGAAGCAGTGTTCTGGATTTCCTGCTCCACCTCCTCTGGGTACTGCTTCTGAGTGCCCACCTGCCAGAGAGAGCTGGGGGGGGGGAACAAACTGTCAAACACCTGTTGCAGTGGCAAATGAACCAGGCTGATCCTCCGAACCAGAGGTTCATGCCCATCTCTAAAGTGTAACAAAGGAAATTACTGCTGTCAGTCAACTCAATTATTGTCTTCCAACCTTGTAAATACAAGGTTCTGTTGACTTCTTTAAATGCCATTGGAATCTGTTTAGTGAGGGAAGCCGGTGGATTCCAGTCCTTTACCTATAAAGCTAACACAGATATTCCCATTCTTTGGTAAAGTTCGTTTACTGTCTTTAGAAATTTGTGGTGTTTCTGAGAGAGGAAGTAAATTAGGCCATTGCATCTTGGAGGGGCAGAGGATAAAAGATGGAAACAAAAAGCATGTTCAGTCATCACAGTACTGTTTAAATATATGAAGGTGAGTTTGCTATTCCTCCTTTTTTGCAAAAGCAAAATATATGAACAAAAATAACCCCTCCTTCACCTTCAGGCAGTCACATAAACAAGAACCCAGATCTCCCAAAGTTCTCACTTGCATGGATAGTGTGTGTGTGCGCACACGCGCGCGCGCGCGCGCGCACACACACACACACACACCACAACACACCTCATAGAGAGTCTGTTCTCCTCAAACACATTGTTTTTGTGCAATCAAAGCAATGACAGAAATTGCAGCTGCAGCATGTACCATGACATGCTTTGGGAATGTCTGAACAGGGCTTTTCTCAACTTAGTTTCTAGATATATTAGAGCAGGTTTTCCAGGCACAAAATATTATGAAAGAAACCATACCCCAACATATGGCAACTTTTTTCTACATCAGTCATGGGTATAAATTGAGAAAGAAGTAGGAATGAAAGTGTGAATGTATTGCAAAAGCAGCTGGTTGTGGATGTCCATGTGGGTGTAAATGAATGTAAACTTATTTATATATGCTAAAGAAAAGAGAAAACACTCCAAATATATACATTGCCATTGTCATTTTGCCAAGTTATCACTGCTTTTCAAAGTTTTATCTTGAAATGACTTTATTATGATGATAATGATGTATAGATGTGGGATTATAAAGACGATGTCTCACTAATTACTTAAAAGACTTAAGGTTATTGTGAAGAGTTTTCACTGAGAACAATATTCTTCATTTTACTAGGTGTGTTCCTTGGTATCAGGATCAATGGTGACAGGCAGTGGTTTCTTGTGGATCCTCCCTGTCAGCCCAGGAGTGAAAATGCTATCCCTAAACGTAGATATGTTAAGATATTGAAAGGGAAATGTAGCTCTGCATTTCTAAGAGATAATGGCCAAAATCTTGTTGCTTAGCATAGTGGATGACATTACAGTAGGCCCTTTGACTCAATGGCGATTTCATAAGTCATAACTCCTTTCTAAGTTCCATGATTCAAATGGGCCTACTCTAACGGTGGTTAACTGTACTAAAGTAAGTACCTGTTAGAGTAGACCTATTCGAATCAATGAAATGTAAGGAGTTGGTTTATCAAGGCCCAACAATTCAATAGCCCTGCATTTGGGTGATTTACTGTGCTAAACCACAGGATTCGGGCCAATAAACGTGACCAAAATCTGAATGGCATGGCTCTGGACTCTTCCATTTGTCACTTCCCCTTATCTTTTTATGTCATGAACTTAAAGATTAAATAAGTATTTATTGATTCTTAGCATTGCTGGTATGGTTTTCATGCTGATTTGGGCTTACGTTTCATGAAATATCCCTTTAACCTATATTGTAGGAGCATTAGAAATGATCTGTTCCTATCTTTCATATAAATTGTCAGTTTCTTCAGCCATCTGAAACTAATATCTGAATAATACTAACTCAAGATCAAGAAGCAATGAGAAGGATGGTAATTTTTCCCCATAACTGGATTTATCTCGTATTAGCGCCTCAGATGGTAAAAGCCCATGTTTCAGGGAAACAAGTAATTTTAAAAGACGAGGCACAGTCAATAGCCAAAACATGCCTCAGAGCTCCTGGTTTCTCCTTTCCTTCCCACAGTGCTGTCTTTGTGACTGTCAGGCAAAATCCAAAGGGAAAACAAAACAAAACAAAGTAAAATAAAAAAAGACAAAACCACATGGAACCTTGAATACTATTTTATTTTAATGTGAGCTTTCATGGACAAGTTCATTTTCACTATTTTATTTTAATGTGAGCTTTCATGGGCACGTTCATTTTGTCAGATATTTGTTTCATTTTGTTTTGTTTCGTGTCTTTGGATTTTGCCTGATTTGCTTGTAACACAGATACATCCTTTAAACTGTTTAAGTAAAAAAAAAATATGTTGCTCTTCAGGATATGTCCATTATGTGGCTGATGGACTGAAGATAGTTTGGTAAATCACAAAGGTCTGATGGATCCAACCCAAAGCTTGTGAAGTTCAGTGTCCTGCTGACAATAACATGTCTTTAAGACATGAACAAGCAGGACAGGAAGACAACAGTTTCTTCCTAGTCGCTACCCAGCAGCTGGTACTGATAGACAAAGTCAATGATTATTTTTAACCTTAGTTTCCTGTAGCACACAGCTGTAAATGCAGCAAGTGCAATTACTTAGCACATACACAGCTTGCCTTAAGAGTGGGAAAAAATAGTTGTCTTCTATAAAAAATCTTGGCTACCTCCCATAAATATCTGGTATGCAGTAGACTGATGCTCAGATAGAGGGGGTGTGGTACAGAAACTTGGCTAGATCAATAACAATTTTAACTGAGTATCTTGTTTACTAAACACTCTTTAAAATTTAACTGTTGAAGGGAGGGGGTGCCTGTATCTGTTTCCAATTTTGAGAAGATATTTT